GCCGGCGACTGGTCAGCATCATACAAAACAACATCATTGTGGACGAGATCTTTGTGCGGCTCGGCATGAAGCTGGACTATCGAAGAATTCTTCTATTCACCTTTCTCATCTCCCTGGGCATTGTCATCTTTAACGTTATTTATCTGTGTGTCAGCTATGGATTGTTGGTCAGTGCCACCATCTCACCATCCTTTGTCACCTTTACGGCGTTTGCCCTGCCCCACATCAACATCAGTCTCATGGTCTTCAAGTTTCTGTGCACCACCCACTTGGCCCAGAGCCGTTTTAGTATGGTAAATGAGGTAAGTAGGCGAACCAACTAAAAAACAAAACAAGCTAGTTATTTACGCAACTACCTTTTGTGGAATATGCAACCAATTCTGTTCTAGATTATCTCCATCTTTCAAGACAATTTAATTACACATTCAATTGAATTTTATAAACTATTCTACCCGATTTCATACAGAATGACAGTGAGAGACTAAGACTTGCCAGTCTTAAGATAGCTTACAATATTTCTCGCAATTTCGAAGGGTTGGGAACCTATTATTGTTTCCCTTGCATCCATTATAAGTGAAGATCTTGCACTGATTTATTCGGAAATAGTAGGTCCAACTTTCTCTGCCATCGAAACATTGTCCATGGTCTGAAGGTTTTTCGAAACAGCGAGCTAAAAGAAAAAAATTAACAGATTTACAGAGAGTAAAACGTAGACAATACTCAAAATCTTACCGGGCCGCTCCTGACCCAATATAATTTTTAAAAGACCACAAATCAAAAAAATTGCTATTGAAAATTTCATCTTATGCCGTTAAGTAGTATACGTTCCCTTCACAGTTCATTTGAATATACGATCCATAAAGAGTTGAATCGACCTTAACTAGTAACAATTGACAAGCTACATTAATAAACCAATTTTAATTTACAGCAATTGCTTCAGGGCTTGAAACTGTTTTAATGAAATAATGTTACGCTTTATTACGAAGAATGTTAGTAAGAGACTACGATTTGCCATTCTTAGAATACAACATTTATCTGTATCTTTATAAATGCGAACACATTATTTTTTGGGTTCTATCGTTTACAATATCTCTCGCAGTCCGAACGGGATTCGAACCTATTACCGTTTCCCTGGCATCCATTATAGGTGAAGATCTTGCACTGATTAATTTGCGGATAGTAGGTCCACTTGTCATGGCCCTCGTAGCAAAGTCCATGTTCTGAAGGTCTCTCCAAACAGCGAGCTGAAAGAAGAAGAACAGATTTACAGAGAGTAAAACGTAGACAATACTCCAATTCTTACGGTCCTGCCGCTGACCCAAGACAATTTCTAAGAGGGCACACGCAAAAAAAACTGCAATCGTGAATTTCATTTTATGAAGTTAAGAAGTTCCCCTTGCAGCTGCTTTAAATACAAGATATTTTAAGAGTTATAACAGGCGTTACTAAACTGCATAAATAAACCATTAGCAATACCTGACAAGCTACATTAATAAACCAATTTTGATTTACAGCAATTCCAACCGTAACCCCGAATCCCTATTTATAAAACTGCTTGTACTGACTGACTGACTTATTGACTGACTGATTGATGATCAATTCACAACCCATCTTGTTAAAGCTAGGAAGCTGTGAACTGACTTATTGACTTATTGGGTTCGGCAAATTCCACCCGCACGTGTGGAAAAATCGGAAAAAAAGTGTTTGATTGAAACTTTTCTGCTATCATCCGATCGATCTGAACAACATTTTAAAGGATCTTTGCATTTTTGGAAAATCCATAGGCCACGAAATTTAATTTAGATCAGACTATGAATAAGACGATTTCATAAGAAAAAACTATATTACTCGATTTCTTGAGGAAATAATCAAGTCAGCGAGTACAAAAGAAGGGCTTAAAATTGTTTTACTGAAATAATGTTAAGCTTTATTATGAAGAATAATAGTTAGAGACTACGACCTGCCAGTCTTAGGATACAAAAGTTATCAGGATCTATATAAATGCGAACACCTTATTTTTTGAGTTCTATATCTTACAAAATCTCTCGCAGATTTGACGGGTTTGGAACCTATTACCGTTTCCCTGACATCCATTATAAGTGAAGATCCTGCACTGATTTATTCGGGGATAGTAGGACCACCTATCATAGCCCTCGTAACATAGTCCATGCTGTGAAGGTTTCTTGAAACATCGAGCTAAACGGAAGAAAGAACAGATTTACAGAGAGTAAAACGTAAACAATACTCCAATTCTTACGGTGCTGCCGCTGACCCAAGACAATTTCTAAGAGGCCACAAGCCAAAAGAACTGCAATCGTATATTTCATTTTATAAAGCTAAGAAGTTACCATTGCAGCTGCTTTAAATACAAGATCTTTTATGAATTATAACATGCGTTACTAAACTGCATAAATAAACCATTAGCAACATCTGACAAGCTTGCATTACGTAACATATATTCTAATCTCTATATATAAAATTGTTTGTCTTGGCTGACTGAAAAGTTTATTAAGGCACAGATTACATCGTAGAGCTAAGAAGCTTAAGTTATGTGAAGATGCACTAATTTATATATTTTATAAGCAAACTCATAAGCCTTCCCGGGCTATGAACCTATTGACAAAACCAGCGTAGACTTTACAAGTGAAAGCCCTACATATCAGAGCCTTGGTAGCATAGAACATGCTCTGCAGGTTTCAGGCCACAAATCACATCAGCTGATTAAAAATTGTTTATAGATTCTACAGGATATTCTGGATGCCCATATTGAACTGAACAGCGCCTTGGAGCTCTCGCCAATGCACTCGGTGGTGAATCATCAGCGATATCCGCACCGGCTACGCAATTTGATCAGCACACCAATGCAGCGATACAGTGTTACCTCGATTATACGCCAGAATCCAGAGTACGCCATCAAGCAGGTGGCCAACATACACAATCTGCTGTGCGACATTTGCCACACTATCGAGGAGTATTTTACGTATCCGCTGCTCGGCATTATAGCTATATCATTTTTGTTCATACTCTTTGACGACTTTTATATACTGGAGGCACTGTTGAATCCGAAACGGTTGGATTACTTTGAGGCAGACGAGTTCTTTGCCTTCTTTCTGACCCAAATGATGTGGTACATTGTGATCATATTTCTGATCGTGGAGGCCAGCAGCAGCACCATACGACATAGCAGCTTCAGCGCAGCCATTGTTCACAAGATACTCAACATAACCGATGAAACGGAGCTGCGGGATCGCCTATTTCGCCTGTCCCTGCAGCTGTCCCACAGGAAGGTGAGATTCACTGCCGCAGGATTGTTTCGATTGGATCGCACACTGATATTTACGGTTCGTATTGGAGTAACGCTCAATATTTCCTCACTAATTGAGTTTTCGCTTCTCTCTTCAGATAACTGGCGCTGCCACCTGCTACCTCATTATACTTATACAGTTTCGTTCCACTCATCACGTTGAAGATTCTGAATCTAACAATATTACGGACTATATGTAACTCGACTACAATTGTAAAATCAATATTATTAAAAGAACTTGTTATCAGAATTGTTCAATAAAATAAAAATGCCATGCAAATAATGCTCTTTCCGTTGAACAGCATTTAAATATAACGGGCACATTGCCAGACCCGTTGCATGACATTGCCAGCTCACACCAAAGATAAGCACAGACTGCTGGGAGCAAGCAGTGCTAGCAAGCAGTCCCCTAAAACGCTGCACAGCAGCTAGCAGCGCAGCAAAAATTCAAAACGCCAACCGTTAAGTGTGAAAGAGACAAACTCTGTTGTCCTACTTTGACTTGTTTGTAGTTTGCATTTCGCTTGAAAGGCGCACGCTACTTGCTAATTGCCACAGTGAAGCATAATCGTAGACAGGCGCCATCCACCACTAATATGTGGCACTAGTAATCCATATAGACACGACATTTGGTCACCACGTACTCTCGCATAATCCAATAAGAGAAGCCGAATACGTCGCTTAGTGCAACGACATTTGATTGTTTTATTGCCTCAGCTGGTGCCAATCTCATTTCCAGCGTCGTGGGTGGTGATTGCCATTTCATATATGTATGTACACATGTGGATAACTTGTCTCAATTGTCGAGCAATATGCAAAATTGCTGAATACCAGCGGACTAGTTACATTCAAACATATAAATAAATTGAACTAGAACGTATGTACGCGTGTAAGTATTTGTTCACTTAGCGCTAATCACTTCGATTAGCCGCATTGATATGGCCTGGACAATTTGTTATCAACATCGTTCGTTTTTATGATTTGTTTACTTTTCCACATACACCTTTCAAATACAAAATGCACTCAAAATTATGGGAATGGAGCTTATATACAAAGCGAACCAAATACATGCTATATACTTGGGTGTGTGTAATAAGCGTCGGATCGGACGTTCAGTTGATAAGGCGCTGTAAAATTGCTCTAGATTGCCGAACAACAACGATTACAAATGCGAATTTTGCTTTTCGATATAAAGCCAAGCTAAATACAAATTTTAAACTTATATTGCGTGCATCTGTTCTACAGTTTGGGTTGGGGCTGATCAGAGGTTAAACTGCTTTGAAGCTCTGATATATGTATACAGTTTGAGTATGACAGGACCTTGCATGTTAACTCAGCTTTGAGCTACAGTTTGAGTAGCTTTACACTGTAAACTGCTTTGTGCGCTAAAGCTGTGCTTTTTGTGAACAGCTTGTGGGCCGCAGTTGTGCATGCACTGACTTGAAATTTAATGCAGTTTAATTCAAATTTCAATGACAAATAACTGAAGCGCAAATTAACGCTGGCACACACACACACACACACACACATACGCGCACAAATACTCATTGAGCGCATATTCATGTGCATACATACATACACACATAAATATGTACATATGTAGGTACAGGCGCACGTCAAACATTCATCAGCAGCAGCAGCCCGCCCGAACAGCTCATAGTAGGAACACAAACGCCGTAGTCGAAGTCGGGGCAGCGGCATCGGCAGCCCTGTTAGTTGCCCGTCCGCCAGAGAGGGCCGCGCACAGTCGTAATCAAGCGTTGGCGAGTAACGGTACACAAGCGCATTTTTTTTTAGTATTTAGATCGTATTCGCATCCATCCACAGTTTCGCATCAACGTGCCGCGTGTCGTATCCGTGGCCTGCACAGCTCGTACAGCCCGTATCCTTACAGCCACGCGTCAGGAAATACTGCAAGAGTGAGTTATTGTTGGGCAAACAACAAGTCAAATTGACACAAGGATTTAATACAATTGCCAGCTGTTTTCCAGCTTTCCAATTAAAGAAAGAAAAGAAATAAAAATAAAAGTCATTGCTTAATCGCGCGCAGACTTATTAAGATTACAAACGATGGACAATGGCACAAGTACAAGTAGTATATATTCAATATGTAGGCAGTAAGTACTCGAACTGTTAATCTAGCTGTCGATAGGGTACTCAACTTGAGCCAAAAGTCGGCAGACGAACAATGGCAACAGTAAAAATACATATACTCTAAAGATTTTCTCAGCTATTGAGCAATAGTTGCCATAGTTTGAGCAGCACCTGTTGCTGCAGACCTTTTTCTCTCAATTAGCGTGCCAATTAGAAACCGATTTAAATAAATTTGTCAACGCAAACACCTAATTGTTGCGGCTAACTACTCGAGTTTGTTAAATCGCTTCTTTTTTTTTTTTTTTAACTTAAAGTAGTCTACGCTCTGAACTGTTTGTCACACGTGCCAAGCAAAAAACTCGACAGTGTAAACAAATGTTAAGAGGGCACTCAGAACATTCGTACTGTTTGAGTTTGAGATGCATTTAATGAGAATTAACGGGCCGCTAAATATATACAAATTCAATTGCATAGGTCAGGAAGCAACGTACGGCTAAATCTCACCGAGCACTGCAAGTGCAAAGATATAGTAAATATAAGTACTCACTGCGAATGCGGCGACAACAAATGCAAATTGCGTTGTTGCCTCGAAATCTTTCGAGTCAAGTCTATGCCGTTGCGGTTGCCACAATGCCACAATGCCATATTGCATATATGTATTTGTTTGTGGTCAGCCGTATCTGAATCTCAGTCTGGATATCAATTTGAGTGTTGAATGGCGCATCAATTCAATTTGAATAGAGCCTATTGTAAATAAGCTGCACTTGTAACTCTTCCAAGCATTTGTATTTCGATTGTAGGCATCGGGTTCCGCTCGGTAACTGATATGTATATTAAAAACACGTGTTAATCAGTTCCTATATCATGTTCAGCTCGGTTTGATCAATGGAAACAAAAATAATTGCTACTGACTCATTTGCTCAATTATGAATTGAATCGATGAATTTTTAATTTCTAATACGTATACGTACGTTAACCAACTCTTCTAGCTCTTCTTTACGCAATATTCTACTCTCTAACTACTTAAATTCCATTCGAATCGAGTGTCTATTATAAAAGAGTATTAAATAATGCTGGTCAGCTAAATTATTGTGTATTTCAAAGTTTCAAAAATGTTTATTTAATAAGAAATCCCTCTTAACTGTTTATTTTTATTATCTGTTTCATTTTCTGGCTCTTGCTTGAATCGATTAATAATATTTTTCTCTTCTTTGTTTACATTTTCACTTAGATTTTTATTAATTTTTCGCTATAATAATTTGCTGTAACAATTTTACGATACGATATATACGAACTTATGATGTGCTCACAGTTCACTTAAAATAACTTCAAATGAAACTCAAAACATCTCAAATATTGACAAAGTTTCTCGCCTCTCAGCTACCATTTCTTACATAGTTAATAAACGAATTTCATAGAATTTAAAGCAAAAGTAAAACTCAAACCTAGTTTGATAGATCACTTTTTAAAGCGTTCCCAACTTTGACTCAGCAACTGCAAACTATTTCAGTTAAGTTTGTGTGTTAATATAAATATATATATCTAGTTATATATATGATAAAGTGACATTAGCTAATGTCACTTGATCAGAAGAACCTGCCCCAACCTTGGCACTGCGTACTCAGTTGAGCACAAATAAAAATATACAAGCTGACTCGCTGCAGATACTTTAGTATCTATCACTTTGCATTATATTTGTAAAGTGATGTCGGCGTAGTTATATAGTATGATAAGGGGTGTCTATCAATTTGTAGAATTTTGTAAAATTTATAAAATTTTGATGCGCATGCAAAGCGCACAGAGGTTAATTCGAGCGCTTTGTTGTCAATTTTTGCGTTTACAACTCGATTCGCGATCGCCCCTTAAAAAGGCATCTGTGCTCGTATTGCATTGTCGTTTAATGATTGGATTTATTATTAAAGTGGAATATCACATGCTTAATTTAATAACGAAAAATAGTTTATGTTTGCCGCAGCGCGAGAATTGCCTCCCAGCAAAAAAAAAAAAGAAGAAACGAGCCTAATTGAAAGCAATTATTCTTTGCGAAAGCTTCGACTTTAGTCAAAATACGTTCTCTTATATCTGTATATTTATATAGTATATTTGTGTTTTGTGTCTCGTGCGTGGGCATTGATCTTGATTTCAATTAAGTTAAATACACATTAAAAATAAAAATTAACAGAAGAGTCGAGAGTAGATTGGAATTCTAATTTAATGAGCATTCAGAAGAGACTCTACCAATATAATTCAACAAGTGTCAATCAAATTTTGTAGAACCCACAAAAAAATGAAGAAGAGAATGCCCAAATGCCGGCAAACTTTTTTTGTTCATCTTTATTCATGACAAAACGAATGCATTCATCAACTGATGCTCCCTATATATATATTTTTGTACGGGCATTTGGTGCGGGAGAACCGTAGGTGTCAAAGACCCAACCATAGCTCACATCGGGGTCAATTGATAGACTCAATTATGGCAATATATCACAGAGCACAGCGCCCAGACAAATACAGACATGGTTGTATATATATATATACATGCATATTTACATGATGCGATCTGAACAATTTGTATTGTTGATAATTGTTGAGGGCACGTTACGTGAGAATTTTTAAGGAAACAATTACGTTGAATATTTTGTGACCCGGCGACCCATTGATAAGATTGCAGTGAAATGCATTTCGCAGCATTTCCTTGATTTTCGTGCTATCTATGGGTGCACTGTTGCGCCATGGGTCTCTTCAGCTGTTGCTTATCGGGTTCAAAGTACGCTTATCAATAACAGCTGGCAATTGATTCACACCGACTGATGACGCTCTGGTCTGCAATTCAATTGGTTTCTGCACAGACAGCCCGACTCGGATATCGTTTGGGGTAGCTGTACTGCAAAACAGCAACAATACCAATTCTAATTCAAAGAGTTTACAGCTATATTACGTATACGTATATAGCGTATACGTATCAGGTTGCATTGATTATAAAAATATAAAGTAAAAACGCCGGCTTGCATGTGCGCCGCACATAGTCGGCTTCGTAATTATCAACACTGATATGACATACACTCTATCAATAGAAATAAATATGCATGCAAATGTATGACTATTTACTTAACACGAGTGTGAACAAGTCACGTGTTACAATTATTGTCGCAAAACTATCGGAAATGTACTTAATTTATGCCTACTTATACAGCTCTCCAGCTATCTATTAGCCCGCATGCACGCCTACAATACGTTTGCATATAATTTAGATCCATTTGCTGAACTTGAATAAGACACAACGTATTAGGCAGAGGGCAGATCTTCCATAAAGTATGCTACAATTTATTTTCACTGAGCAAATTAAATGAGTTGTTTTTCATTAATAAATAATTGTTAATCATTATTTAAAAAATAACGTCACTTTATCACGCCGAACACTAAATACTCTAGTAGGCATATGGCTTACAAGAGCTTTCTATCCAGCCAATTTACCCATAGAAGCCATATAATATAGTATTCCGATTTCATACGGCATTGCTGACTTTAAAATTGGTACATTCAGAAACTCATTTTGCGAAATATTCTTTCTCTGAATATAACATAGTTTTCTGCTGTTGACTAAATTAATAAATGACAACTCGGTCAGATATAGTGATCGATAATATATACCCTTGTGCTTCTATTATTGTATTATTATATTAAGCAAAGGCAAAAAGGCCAGTTAATGCAAATGATTTTACAAATCGAGCTCTGTTCAGTTGTTTCTATAGCAACTATGCAATATAGGTCAGTGTTGATTAGTTAAATACACATTTTAAGTGTTGATTATTTCACGTTTGTTGAGTTAGGTCCAGATATCAGTTTGTATGAACTAACAGCTCGTCGTCTTCTGTTGCTGTTGCATAAGCACTATTTTTTTCCAGGTCAACCAAGAAGTTTTCATATTTGACAAGCTCAAATTTCATGCTCTATGGCTTCCTTTTTTTTATTTTTGTATTCACCTTAAGACACCTTGGAGCTGCACAGCCATGCCCACACAGAACAGCGGCCAGTGGCGGCGTAAAAGCAATCGGGGTTTGATTATTGGCCTATTTGGGTTTTGCCTTGGACTATTTGGCATAGTGTACGGCATGTTCTGGGAGGATATCTTCAATTGGATCAAGCATAAGGTAATTCAAGTTTACGGCTGCAGCTGCATTCGCTTAACGCCAATTAAAAGCAAGCGGAGTCGAGTCGAGCCGTTGGCTCAAACGAGCCGCCTCAATTGATGCACACTTGTTGAGATTTTCAATTAATGGCAATTGGGATTTGATCTTTGTACAGGAAATGGCGCTCGCGCCCGACACACGCGTCTATCAGAATTGGAAGACGCCGCCAATGGAACTGCACTTGGATATATACTTGTACAACTGGACAAATCCCGAAGAGTTTGGCAATCTAAGCAGCAAGCCCATCTTACAGCAGCTGGGCCCCTATCGTTTCATAGACAGGCCCGATAAGGTAAACATTAGCTGGCATCCATCGAACAACTCGGTCACCTATCGCCGCCGCAGCTTGTACTATTTTGATGCCGCCGGAAGTGCGGGCAGCCTGGACGATGAGATCACCACGCTCAATGCTGTGGCCCTGGTTCGTATTCCCAGTCCAGCAGCAATTTAACCCGGGCTAACTGTCCGCTCTTGCAGTCGGCGGCAGCCACGGCCAAGTATTGGAGTCCCGTCAAGCGGAGCATGGTCGATGTGGGCCTCAAGCTTTATGGTCAGGAGATGTATGTCACGAAAACGGTCGACGAAATGCTCTTCACTGGCTACAGTGATCCCATGATCGATGTGGCCATGGCCATGCCCATTTTTGGGGACGATGTTAAGGTGCCCTTCGACAAGTTCGGCTGGTTCTACACGCGCAATGGCAGTGCCGATCTAACTGGTGTCTTTAATGTCTTCACTGGCGTCGACGATCTGGCCAAGCTGGGTCAAATGCATTCCTGGAACTATCAGACGCACACGGGCTTCTTTGACTCGTACTGCGGCCTGGCCAATGGCTCGGCCGGCGAATTTCAGCCGCAACAGCCACAACCGGGCGGCAGTGTCGGTCTCTTCACGCCGGACATGTGCCGTACTCTGCCATTGGACTACGCGGAGACACAGGAAATCGAAGGATTGCAGGCCTACAAGTTCGCAGGCGGTGCGCGTTCCGTTGACAATGGTAAGCGCCAGCCAAATAATACTCTTTTAATAGCCTTGTAGACAGTATTACAATTTTGCTATCAGGTGTATATCCGTCTGTCTGTTTTTATGCGTACCTGTCTTACAAAGCTGTCGCCTTGAAAGCAAGCAAGAGTCCGTCCTTTTGTTGCAGGGAGCATCGTTATTTATTTGCGCCTTATCGAAAAATAATCTGTCTTGCAGGCACAATATATCCGGAGAATCTGTGCTTCTGCGGTGGCGAATGCGTGCCCTCCGGCGTAATGAATATCAGTTCCTGCCGCTTCGGCTCACCCGTGTTTATGTCGTATCCGCATTTCTACAATGCCGATCCGTTCTATGTGGATCAGGTGGAGGGTCTGCAGCCCAATAAGGAGCAGCACGAGTTCTATATGGTCGTAGAGCCAAGCACAGGCATCCCGCTTGAGGTGGCAGCACGTTTCCAGGTTAACATGCTGGTGGAGCCCATTGAGGGCATCGCATTGTATCAGGACATTCCACGAATTTTCTTTCCGTTGATCTGGTTTGAGCAGAAGGTGAGAATCACGCCCGATTTGGCCGATCAGCTAAAGCTCTTGCCATTGGTCCTGCTGTCTGGCCATATCTTTGCGGGTGTGTGCCTGGCCGTGGGTCTCATTATGCTGCTCTGGATGCCCGTTCATCAACTGCTCGCCTGGTGCCAGACACGTGAATACGACGTGAAGATGCAGCACAAAAGCAATGGACACTACAAAAGTCGCTCGCAGTTCTCCAGTGCCGAAGAGCTGAAGTCCAAGGCCTCGACGCTGGTGTGCGAGAAGAGCGCTGGCGCCACGCCGGACAGTTCGCCGCTGCTGGAACGGAATCGCAAGGCCACTGTGCTGATGTCCAAGTCGCAGACAGGTGATAGTATGGCCACTGCCTCAACAGCCCTCAGCGAGACGGCGGACGGCAAACAGGACTAACGGAGTTAACAGGATCAACTAGCCGTCCTAGTGCTTTATCATAGTTAATAGTCAGTTAGTGTAGGAAAAACATGCATATTATATAAATATATGTATAAGCATATATATAAATATGTCCCTCATCCTGTTTGGATACAGCTCCTCATTCCGGAGTACATACATGCATAGGTGGCAATGCCAAAGATTATATAGCTGCGGGGAGAGTTGTATGAATGCCATGGCATGGCATATTGCATAGCTAACGAATACTCTTTCTACATCTTAATAAATATATATAGTTTTAGAATTGTATTTGAAATGTTAAGACACTAGAACACAGAGAATTTTGATAAAATTATTTTCTAAAAATCATAGGAATGTTTTTATATGTAAAAGCTCAATATCGAATTAAACATTTTATATACAAACATGTGTGGTTTAATTCCACTTAGCTTTGTTTAAGTGGTTTGCTAATTGCATTTTTTCTTCTAATCATTGACAGTTGTCGAAAAAGTTGTGATATTTGTTAGTTACCTTATATGATCAAGGTGCAAGTTTAGACGGGCAATCGGGAAATTCCATCCAACATTTTCATACATGCATACATACATACATACATATATACATACATACATACACACATACATACATACATACATACATACATACATACATACATACATACATACATACATACATACATACATACATACATACATACATACATACATACATACATACATACATACATACATACATACATACATACATACATACATTCATACATACATACATATATACATACATACATACATACATACATACATACATACATACATACATACAAACATACATACGTACATACATACATACATACATACATACATACGTACATACATACGTACATACGTACATACGTACATACGTACATACGTACATACATACATATATACTTATTATGTACATACATATATTCATATTATGTAAATACATATATACATATTATGTACATACATACATACATATTATGTACATACTAACACAATAAAACACTAAAAAAAACACAAAAAAAATACCAAAAAAAAATACTACACTACTAGCTTTGCATGAAAAACTGCCGAGCCTACATGAATTCTTGAGAATCGAGGAGGAGAGCACTTGGTAGAAATTCGTTTTATTTAAATTTGCAACATAGCGACAAGTAAGCTTGACTTGCTTTTGGTATTAAAAGGGAACCATATATGTTTATACATATGTATATATTTATAAATGCACACACACATGCATGCATACACTAACACACACACTCCAAAATATACACAACATTATTCGTGGTAAAAATTAATGTAAAAATATTTTATATGGACATAGGACGAAATTTCCTACCACCAAAACTTGGCCAAATCTCATCCGATTTTCACGAGGCTAGGCTTCTAAATCTGGCAACATTATTGTTGTTTTAAGGTTTAGTCCGATTGGTTTTAAACTTACTTTCAAAGCTACATAAGAACTAAATGATTATGTGTTTCAGCGATTTGGAAAATTTCGCCCTCAACGGCTTTAAATTACCGTCAGGTCGGTTTTAAAACTAATTATCAAAGATCTTTAAGAGAATTTGTTATATATCTACCACGAGCGACTGCTTACACACACTGCTTAGCCAGAGTGCTTGTGTGCGCTGCTTGTCAATTTGTGCTTAATGAACTGCTTGGGAACTATTCAGTGACTCTTAAACTGTATTGGCTGTTCTATTTAAGTTAGCAATAATTTAAGATTTCTATTTCTGTCTAGGGATATAACTACAGCTTACACACTGACTGCTTGCTTTGCATTCAATAGCCTACATATATTACATATATTTGCTTGCCTTATTTCAAAGTTTAAAAGATGTATTTATCAGTATAAAAGGTAACAAAATTTACATTTTATTGCTACACATAGAAACATATGTACATAACATAGTTACTTATAATATATAGTACAATATACCTTACGAAAAAAAACCCTAGTAAAGTCTTTGCTCTATGTAGCGTGTTGTGTGCGTTTCGTATCGCAGATCATACTTGAACTTAATAACACTTTAGCTTTAAACAATTTTGGAGCAAATAACTACAAATTACAATGGTACAACAATATTAGCAATATCACAAATGACCCAACTTACAGACTTAAGATAGAAATCAAACAAAAATGAGGTATGGAAGACTTATCCAAATTATTTCTTTGACTTTTTGTAGTCCTCAGTGTAGCCATAGCTGTCGGCCTCTGTAAAATCAAAAAAACAATATTATTTCAAAGAGCTAATGAGTATATTTAAGCTACTTACGTTCGTAATCCTTGGAGTAGCACTCAAAGAACTCGCCCAACAGCTTGCCAGGCGGCAGCTCCCAAGTGGCCGTGCCGCCATATTTGGGCGGCAGGGCGCCGGCATCAATGTGCGTGGTTAAGGACTTCCAGTCCTTGCCGTGGAAAAAGATCTGCGCCAAATAAGTCAATTAAGTATTAAGTACTGTTGCAGGCTTATTATTATTTAACTTACGCGCTTGCGCAGCTTCTCGCGAATGAAGGGCTTGAATATGGCAAACAGCATATTGAATATGTACGAGTTATTCACAATGTGAACACCCTTCAGGCGCATGCAGATGCACTCCTGCACATAATCCAACAGCATGGCGGCAAACGATGGTGTGAACTGTGTTATGTGGCTCAAAGGTAGACCTGTAACAATAGACACGACGTTATTGTTAATGCTTCGTCCGGTCGTAAAGCAAAGTGCACATCATATTAAACTTGACCAACGCACTTTATGGCCGGCTTTGCTTTATTACCTTCCATATCAATTATGACAACGGCGCCACAGATTTGTGAAAATGGCTCCACCATGGAGCCCAGCACGGTCAGCTGTATGCCACGAAACAGATCCGGCAGCGGCACCTTTGATGGCTTCCATTTCTCTATTAAGGTCGAGAGATTAGGCACACGCTTGCACATATTTTTAAGGGTCGTTTTGTTACTTACTGCCCGCTTCGAGGACGAGTAGACGACGACCATGCTGATCCCTGTTGGGCAGCAGGTTCAAGATTTCACCCTCAAACACATTGCGCAGCTTGGCGGGCACAATGTTCTCACAGGCAATGCCATACTTCAGTTTCATGTTGTAGAAATTCTTGAGCTGTAAAATAAAGCAAGCGAAATTAACTATATCAGTCAGTCCAGATTTCTTTAATCTAGAAAATGCTTAAAACTTACGCGCTTGAGAGCACTCTCGGGATAATAGTGGCAAGGGCGCAGAAACATCATCATGTACTCATCATCCAGTGGCAAGTGTAGGTACTTTTCATCTATTAGAAGTGAGAAAATATTCAAAGTAAATAAACAATAGCTTGGCCTGGGCAACAGCGGCTACTCACTTTGTATGAGCTCCCTGAGCTCCTTAATGGCCTGCTCCTTGATGCCGGGCAGCTCGCGCAGCTCATCTTGTGCCTTCTTCAGGGCCCAGTCGGGCGCCTGCTCCTTTTCCATGCGTATCTGGGCGCTGCCCAGGTCAATATATGGCAGCTGATTGTCATCGTAGCTAATGCACTCCGCTTTGCCCATCTTGACTACTTGGAGCTGCGATCGAGAATGAAAGTATATTCAATAAGCTCAAAAGTTTTTGTAGCCAAAGTGCTTGACACAACTGGGTTATTTCCGCCCTAGCGCAGTGGTTCAATGCCTTGGCCCAATGCTCAAACATGACTCAATGCTGAACTTCATTAACAAGCCCGCAGCGGAAGACGAAGCCGACAAAACACGCACACACGAATACAGACAGTGGCCAAGAGCGGCAGACTGAGAGCCGAGAGAGGGTGCTAGGGCGAGATGTAGACAATGTTACCAAAACTGGTCACACAACGTCACAAGCCGCACGCCGCATGCCGCACGCCGAAAACCGCTAAGGTTTATGTAAATACCCTAACTAAGAGTAAGTTGATTTTATAACAAAGTTTGTCAGTCTAAAAAAACTTATAATAGCCCTTCTCATATATATATAATCTTTATATATATAATCTACGTATACAACAAAGTACGTATGCAAACTTGACCTTGTGCTTAACATACTGTTAACATTCGCATTTAACAGAGTGAAAATTGATAATGTTGTTTAACAGACAGCACTCGAAAACCGTAAAGGAAAAGAGACCCCTCAAGACAATGGTTAAAAGCACTACAAAGTAAACTCGGATAAATTATAATTCAATAATTCTATTATATTTTAGACACTTCTTAAGTCAAAATGGAGTTCTTATGCACATGTACAAAATTCTAAATTTTCCATATATTATAAATTGGATGTATAACTCTTTAATTATAGAGTGTTTAATGAAGTAAAGTCTAAAAATACCAATCTCTACTTTGATATTTCTACTATGCTCTTAATATGTTTGCAATTTATATTAATTGCTGACTGCCTTAGTTTAATTTTTTCCATTATATTTTAAGAGTATTTAAGCTGCGGCTTGTGTATATAATTTTTTTTATGCTTATTGTTGCGGCTATTTTTGACTATTCGTAGACGACTTGGCAACGACTTGGCTAATAAAACCAGGCCCAACTTGACTAAGCATGACGTAGCGAAACATGCTCCACACTTGACCCAAAGCAGAGAGAGGGGTACAACGAGAGATAGAGAGAGAGACTGAGAGAGCGAGAGGGAGATCTAGCTAGCCGCCACGAAGCACCCATCAAACGTATGTTAACTGTTCCAAAAGCCGTTTTACGACTCGGCCAAAGAGCAATTAGTTAGTCTATTTGTGTGCGACATTTTCAAGGTAAAAGTCAAGGCCAGAGCAGAGCTAAAACCGACTCAATATTAAATTTTAAATACTCATTGAAATCGTCAATAGAAACCATTAGATATAAACTGATTTCTGCTTTACTATTCAGGCAACGTGCATGTCGGGCTTTCAGTTTGTTCGGCACACAAAAACTCCAGATATTTTCGAATAAAAAACCTTTTGCAACTTGGCTTTGGTTGTTTGCAGGTTTTTTTTTCTCCTTTTCTCTTTTTGTTTTTTTTTTTTTTTTGGGCATTATATTTGGGTTTACTTTGTCCCGAGTTCAACAGCCCATAATGTTATGCGCATACATTTTGTTTTGGACCTTCTGTTAAGTAAAGTAAAGTACTCGAATCGAGCAGCGTAAAAAGAGTATAAATAAATAATATAGTAAAGCAGCGTGCAGCTAATATGAATTGTGGATCGTGGCAGCAAAATGATTCCCAATTAGCCACATGCAAAGTGTCACGTCAATTACAAAATGTTGGCACAAAAATTAAGATAATGATACCCCGTTATAGAAAACAAAACTAAATTGATCAAGGCATTACATAA